AACGCACGTACGTTATAATTCTTTGTACATTTCTCTGCCGTTCTCTGCAAAACAACAACGCGAAACGACTACACTCTGCGTATTTTGGATAACGTGAACGAGGGCGACTATAATTTTTCGCATTTCCATTTGGACTTGAACGCTGGCGTTACGTACATATTTAGCTTGAGTTGGTTCTGAGACTAATCGGCGCTCTGAGCAGATCTAGACATTTTCAAAATTCGAAGTTAAAATATCAATTCATTTTTTAGTAGGTGTTGTCCTAAGGGTCGCCGTCGACATTGCTTAAGCTTTTAATCTTTAAGTTAAGTTAAGTTTTTATTTTTCGCGCCAAAACACGACACGCGGGTAACACGCGGATAACTTGATGCTGTGGCGGTTATGTCAACAAGCCTCTGTCAGCGGAGTGTCTTTTTGAAAAGGGAAAACCAATCCAAAATCAATGAAGAATGAACGAGAAGGGCAGCAAAGGTTAATTTATAAAAGGCATAATCATAAAAAAGAGTTTATTTTCAAAGCAAAGACTTTCTCGTAACAACAAGGATGATTACATTGCGACTTGGTCCAGTTTGAATCGACGAATTTCAACTCCAGGTAAAGCAATTCTGAACGAATTTGACGTTGAAATTAGCTTATCATGAATGGAATGCCTTGGCAAAGTATCAGGTCATTTTATCACTCCATTGCTGGTTTGGGTCGATTTATGACATGCCGTCTCTCAGCGCAAGCTGTTGCTCTAACAAGCGCTTAGAACACTGTGCTGTAAACCATTTTAGACCGATGGCTTCGTGTCTTGTCGCAGACTTCAAATATACAGTAGATAAGTTTAGATTAACAAAAATGTACTGAACGTTCAGTAGGTGGATATCAGGCAGGAGATATCATGCAGTTGATTTGTATTTTGACAATGAAAAATAACCGGTTACGACAGCTCTAACCGGGTTACGCTTGCTGCGTTTGGTATGCTGTGTATCAATTACTTTCCGCGCAGCTGACTGCAGTCTACACCAAATATGAGTACTTTTTTAACACGCTTCTTTTAAAAACCTGACACAGAAAATCTGTAGGCTATTTCAGACCCGCAGTAGCAGCCTTGCGTTTAATTAAGCGATATTGCTTATTAATGTTTGCTATATCGTGTTGCTTCAGATGTTTTTAATGGACCGGGTATTTTCATATCGATCACTGTCAAAGTAAAAACTGGGTGAATATCGATAACATGCATGTACAGCCGTGAATTCTTTGTCCAAATCTTATTACCCCATTGCACCAAATCATTACAGATCCAAAACAGGTTTCAGATCCGCTCAACTATGAAACCATACTTTTTTGAGTGAGGTATATCAAGTTTATCAGCACTGCGGCCGCGGATCTTGAATATTTTTCTGTGTGTATTCATTTAAAAAATGAAATGTTACAGTTGTTTTTTCTTGTATATCACTACTATTGCTCTTTCGATTTTATACGAGACAAAGCCTGCCGAGGAGGGGAAATGGAAACGTCGCTTTTTTGGCTGCACTGCAATTCTCAGAGACTCACAGTTCGCTTGATAATACGAGAAAAATATGTTGCCTGGGTTTGACTACTTGCTTGCAAATGTGGTTTATAAATTAATAGTAAAATACCTTATGTTCCTGCTTGTTGTTAAGAACAAGTCATTGAAATGAAATGTCTCCGTGATTTCAGACGTATCACATTTTAATTGACCAAGAAGTCGTGACGGATACGAACCGGGGATATGGGAGCACTCTAATATAAATCCTGATAGATCAACAGATGTTGAGATAGCTGCAGGTTGTAATTTTCACAGGAGCTCTTGTTTTCCACGTGCATCAGAGAAGAATGATGTCACTTTGTTACGTTAGAGGTTATCTTCAACAGTGTTCCAGAAATACGACCTAAACCCCCGGGTCTAGA